CGCTCTACAACCAATCAGAAAACGATTCAAGATTCCGATGAATTTTGCTTCGTATTATCGGAATCCTGTTTTCTGATTGGATGCAAAGCGTCGTATGACGAAAATCGAATGCAGTGTGAATTCAGCAATTGCTTGAGATTAAGACTGGAATCAGACTACGCATTGAATATTGAGACTGAAGATTGAAAGACTGAAATTTGACCAATCCAAACAATAGGAGCTAAAATTCCTTTGTCCTCACTGGTCAAATTTTAATCTTCAATCTTCAATCTCAATCTTCAATGCGTAGTCTGATTCCGGCCTAAGACCAGACTATGGATTCCGTCCTCAACTTTGCATTTGAGTGCCCTTATTTAGAAATTGAGACACCCCTCACTCCTCGATGGCGCGCTCCAGTATGTTATAGAGCTCACTGAGGACCGGCAAGAATTTGTTTGCTCTAGGAAACTTTGTACGCATGTGTAATGACTCCTGCACACTGGACGCGGAAACGCTTACCGCGCGGCAAAATACGACGCGATAGCCAATAAGCTTACAGCTCCTAACATGTTCATTGGTCACCGCATCGCATTTTGCCGCGCGGCAAGCGTTTCCGCGTCCAGTGTGCAGGAGCCATAAAGCTGAGCAGCCTTAATGTATACATTTCATGGTACTATAAGACCCCTAATAACGATGTTAACAAAGTTGTAGGGAGAAAAGGAAGTTTTTGATCGGTATTCATAGTCCGTTCTTATTTTAAGACCATCTTAAGTAATATCTTAAGCTGTTAATACGGCCCTCTGATTGGTTCGTGACATCTTAAGATTGTACTTAAGATGGTCTTGAATATAAGAACCAACTATGAATATCGCCCTTTATTAAAGAAACATAGTGTATTCATGAATAATAATAAATTTTGTCTTTTATATATATATTACATGTGCAGCCGATTTATCATATGAATACCAACATTTGTCGCAAAGGATAACGGAAACTGCAGAAAACTTTATCAGTATTTCTTACAAAAAAATTATATGTAATAAAAAACAATTACAATTACGCATATTGAATTAATACAATTAATAATATAATAATGTAATACAATAAAAATAAAATATATGTATATAATAACATGTTAATATACAGTATCATAAAATAAAACATCTATATGTAACTATAACACGTATATACATATACAAATTGTATTACATTTTAATTTATATTATAATTTGGAACGCGTTGTAAAGCGGAGCAAAGTGTTAAAATTTGAGATTGTCCCTCCTAATTTGGGACGGTTGGTCAGTAAGATTTATAGGAGCCCCAAAAGCACCCGTATTCCGTATTGCTCCGTCTGTTCCATCATTGGATTCTTGATGTAAGTATACCAGATGTTCCATTCCCATGGATGCGCAGTCGTTCAATTAATGGCCGCTCTTGGGCTAATCAGAAATTTGCCTCAAACCTGAAAAAACAATATGGCTACTCCCACAAACTGTGTGTTTTGGTGTTTTGTTTTACCGGCGTGATCACTACGTTTATCTTATCAACGTGTGTAGAAAGTAAGTATCGTAAGATCAAAATATAATTCGTAGCATATATAATTACGATTAGATAAACTTCCTTCGTGTAAAGGGGATAATTATCAATAAATATATAATTTAATATTTTTTATTCATGTGTTTAGTCTCATCGTCGCGATTTTCACTTAATAAAGTTAAAGAAGTAAACGCATCTAAAATTTTATTATGCTACTAATCTTATTTTGCATTGTTTTTAATAACATAGGCTAGCTCTTTTACAATCCTTGCTTTTAAAAATATTAAAATTTACATATTTTATATATTGTAGTCATAGAAAATTTTCATTTTCATCTGAAAAACCTGGAAAAGTCAAGAAATATTAAAATTCATTTTCTGTGACAACCTTTATCTATACATTATCTGTATCTACATACTTACCTATATCTTCTTACCTATACTTACCTACCTATACATGTTTCTTCATTTATATCTGTACTTACCTATATTTACTTATATTTAATTATCATTTCTTTTTTGTACCATAAATTTTTATTAGCTCTGGAGCTTTTTAGATTATACTCTTTCATATTTTGAAATTTATTTATATTTTTACTACATGTTTCCATTAATACTATTTGAATTCTGTGCTAATTTTGAGGCAAAATTTTTATTGGCTCTTTCTATATTCAGTCGCCATTATGCGCAATGGAACCTGGTATCCTTACATCATGATTGGATCGAGCTGCTACGTCATTTTACGCATGCACACAAAGTTTCCTAGAGCAGACGAATTCTTGTCATTTTCCATCAACAACATATAAAACGGAGCATGAGCTGCTATTTCGAACAAGGGAGGGTGTGATAATCGGGGCAAGACGGGAGCCATCCCACCATAGCCTCCCTCCTTTGACGTCGGCTTATTTCGCCGAGACTCGCTAACATTCGGCTACTTCGCCTCTTACCATCGACATCTAGAATGGACCGCTGATGGCAATGGTGGGGATAGAAAGACGATTAGAGTGAGAGGCAGGAATAATAAGATCGTTCTTTCTCTATTTACTGAAGCCTGATTGGTTGTTGGACTACTGTTGGATTAACAACAACCAATCATCGGTCCATTCTAGATGTCGATGCTTAAAACTCTATTGTAGATCCGGGGTAAAGAAATCGTAAGATTGGATTCGCTACTGACTTTACGGTCTCTATCGTGATTGGCCAATTCGCTTACTGATTATGCCTTACGCCCTTACGTTTTTGTATGAGCTATTAGCTGCGTTCAGCAGACTCAACAGTTTTGCAACCGTTTTATGATTGTCTGCTGAGATAGGACCATTCTTCTAGATCTAAAAGTATGATCCAATTAGCGCGAAGGAAACTTACAACAGTTGCAAAACAAAGCCAATGGCTGCGTTCAGCAGAACGTTTGTTTTGCAACTGTTGGAAGTTTCCTTCGCGCTAATTGGATCATACTTTTAGATCTAGAAGAATGGTCCTATCTCAGCAGACAATGGGTGCGTTCAGCAGAACGTTTGTTTTGCAACTGTTGGAAGTTTCCTTCGCGCTAATTGGATCATACTTTTAGATCTAGAAGAATGGTCCTATCTCAGCAGACAATCATAAAACGGTTGCAAAACTGTTGAGTCTGCTGAACGCAGCCAATCATAAAACGGTTGCAAAACTGTTGAGTCTGCTAAACGCAGCCATAGGCTTTATACAATACTTCAGCTTCTCTCTAGTATACTTTATTGAATGGTCCAACATATGTCAGTTTGTCAGTTGCGAAAAGTGTTAAGCAGCTGTATAAATAAATAAATAAACTAACGCAGTGAGCAAAAGCAGATGGAAAACTCTAGTTTTTACGTTTACAGCTGGATCAAACGATCAGCTGTAAAACAGTTCCGGTGGATTGTTCGAAGCTATTTCCAGAACATCATTCTAAAATAGAAGGATTAAAATATCCGTCTATTAATTCTTTGTCCGTAAATACGTATAATATTTCCATGTGAGAAAGAAAAAGAGAGAAATTTTCAGTTTCCACTTAGTTTACATGACATTACAATGACGGAGTAAATGCGAAGTGTCTCGTCGAAGAAAAGGTAACAAATATTTCGTTCACCACGTAGCAAGGATGGCAC